ACAAGTTCCTACAGTTTTCTTGGCAAGATTTTTCGGAAGTGGTTTGCCATCGCCTCCTTCCAAGAGCTTAGAGTGACTGACCCAAGGTCACCCGGCTAGCTTTGTGCCTAAGGCAGGACTAGAACTCATGATCTCCTGGTTTCTAGCCTGATGCCTTAACCATTACACCAGACTGGCTCTCATTGACACATTAGGCAGATGCAGTTTGGGGTATGTCAGTCCCTCAAATAGCATGCAGTGATCTAGTTTCCAACTGATGTGGTAGACCAACTCCCATAAGCCTTCAGTCAGCATGGTTGCTGTGTGGCCGTTTAAAGGAACTGAGGACCAATACATCTGAAGAACACCAGACTTGGTGGTGTTATGGGAGACTTGGCTCAAAATATTCTTAAACCAACAAACAAAAAGGGAAATAGAACAGACATTCCACACAGATAGAGTCTCAGAAGATGAAATCTAAACTATTTAACAAATATATATGATTTTAAATAAAAATACTGTCATGGATTGGCAGAATACATAGTACAGTATATACAAGATCCAAGGTTTATTTCTTGTCTGTGATTGATTTCCTTGGATAGTAGGACTACAGAAGATACCTCTGCCTGTGCACCTGGAGAATTGCTGCTAATCAGGTAGAAAGTGCTGGACTGTGTGGATTGCCTTCATTTGTGGCGTTTCTTAACCTAATTTTAGCCTAATTATAATTTGGTGTAATTGCTCAAGAATAACAAAATGCAATCCTTTGAAATTCTGGGTGAGCCTTTGCATCTGTGGATTCTGTTCTGCTCCTAGAAAACTATAACTTACAGACAATTAAGTTGTTGATGCTCCTTTTAGCACTTGGTGCCTCCAAATTTGCTACTAATTTTACCCAACCTGTCAGTGTTACGTTTGCTTTTTTTGTGTGTGTGTGTCATGAAGTGTTATAAAAGCCCGTTCAGTAACAGGAAAAACTATTTGTGTGTTACCTAGTAATCTGTTTTTCTAAATATCAGTTCACTCTTTAGAGAAAAAACAGCCATGGGAGAAGGAAATGGATTTTGTTGAGTTTTGAACTATCTTAAATAGTATCTTACAAGAAATTACTGTTACTTGGGCAGATGACAGTCTCTTCCCTAAACAGTTAGATAAATATAATTTGGCAGCATGAGGCTAGCTTTATGGAGATACATGACCATTTTTAGTCAAACATATAGAAAAGAAGAAAATGAGAAGTTTACCATATTTTTACAAAGTGGTTATATTTACACTTATGTGAACATCCCCATTTCTGTCAGGCATCGAAATATAACATGCCATGCCTTTAGATGAGAGCCACTTTGGTGTAGTGGTTAAGGCACCAGGCTAGAGACCGGGAGACTGGGAGTTCTAGTCCCGCCTTAGGCACAAAGCCAGCTGGGTGACCTGGGGCCAGTCCCTCTCTCTCAGCCCTTGGAAGGAGGCCATGGCAAACCACTTCTGAAAAACCTTGCCAAGAAAACTGCAGGGACTATTATAGGCAGTTGCCAGGAGTCAACACTGACTCGAAGGCACCCCCCTCCAAAAAAAAGCCTTTAGACATCCAAAGGCTGTATCCTCAGTCTTATATAATTTTCTTCATATAATTGTTTATTTATTGTACCCCCTAGCAAACAAATGCTGTACTGACAAACACCTTTATAGTGGTTTCTTTAAGAAATGGTTCTTAAGGAAACAAAATTGCATCTGTATTGAAAATGGCATAAAAGAGGGAAGAGTTTGGAAAGGGTGGAATCAGAATTAGCCCTCAGGAAATTGGGTGCTGATTTTAGAAGCTGATGTTTGATGTGGAGCTGGGTAGTAATTTTTCATTCTGATGTACTTTTTTTCAAGCAAAAGTGGCATATTAGGTGTTTGAGTTAACTGGCAGGTGTGGTAAGAATAAGTGGCAAGAATTAATGTGTTCTTGATTGGAAGGCAGTAATTGCTGAAGATAGATGATAGGAGGATGTTATTTGGAGCTCCTACTGAATAATTTATTTTTAATTTGTTTAACAACATTTTTAGACCCATCTGGCCAACTCTGGATGATGTACAGAAACAAACTAATACAAAATATCTCCACTATTTAAAATGATCAGAACACTACATGAGTTATCATACCCATTACATAATTTATTGCAGCCAGGTTAGTTCTGGGACTGTCTGTCCCCTGTTATTTCTACCCGTCAGGCAGGTGGGACATGTTCTGGGTCCACTCTGCTAGGGAGCATCATCTGGTGCAACCCAGGAGGAGAGCCTTTTCTGCCATGGCATCTGCCCTCTGGAATATCATCCCTCTGAAGACAAGATTGGCCCTGATCCTGTTGGCCTTTTGCAAGACCTTGAACACTTGGTTCTGTGCTTGAGCCTGCAACCTGGGATATGTGAGGAAGCCTGTTTCCTGGTTGCATTGATTGGATGATTTTTTTTAAAAAAAATTCCTCAGCTGCTACGTGTTCTTATATTATATTTTGTATGTAGTGTTATTATTTTTAATATTGGTAGCACCCAGAGTCATGGATTTGAGATGGGCATGGATAAATCCAATAAATAAACAAACAGCACAACAACACAACAGTGAAAATGGAAACAAAACAAAGCAAAAGAAAATAAAACCATATAAAGCACATTTAGGGCTCAGTGTTTCTAAAATAGAAACATGTTTTGAGGGACTTACTGAATGTGAGGAGGTTAGTGGCCAATCTCATCTCTGGGGAATGTTTTCCATAATGCAGGAACCACTACCAAGAAGGCCTGTCTTAGTCCATACCTCCTTGACTTCCCATTAGGGTAGAATCCAGAGTAGACCTCCCTTGATTTTGGACTGGATGAGTAGTATTTTATTTGACAACGTGGTGTCTGATATATCCCAGTGCCATGCCATCTAGGCTTTTACAGCTGATAACCTGCACCTTCCCTCCCACCATGCCACATAGACCATGCCAATCATACATTCTGCTTGCATCAGACCAGCACATTCTTCTCTGGGATGGAGCAGGTCAAGTACAATTCATAATTTGTCTCTTCTCCTTCTTGTCATCTATACTTACTATCCCCCAACCATCAGCCTTGAGCACAAACTCTTATTCACAGTACTATAATGCCACAGTATCCAATTCTCAAAACCACTTTCAACTTCTTTCTTTCATCTTTCCCCCTTCTTTGCTCCCTTACTTCCCCTAGCCCTACATCAATATCCCAGAACAACCAACAACCTTACCCTAAAAAAATGTGAAGTGTCTAATAGAGATGATTCTGTATTGCTAACTAACATTGTTGAGTACCTTTCATGGGGCACATGTTGAGAGGGAATCTTTAAGACTGGGTTTGGCTTGGGCATGCCAAAGAGATTTCAGAATCTATTGGAATTGAAGAGGAACACATCTAAGGGTACCAGCTGGTCAAACCCTTCATTCTAATAGAAAGCTTTGGTTTATAATAAAGGCTATTTAGAATCACAAGCTTCCTGTGTATGTGACGTGTTCAACAATGAAAGAAACTGCTTGGAAATTAATTCTTAATTATAGATGTTTAAGCAGGAGTTGGATAGCCATTTATCCTGTATGCTATAGTAATGGTTTTCCTGCACTGGCAGGCTATTTGACTAGATGATTTTTGACAGATTTCCCAAATCTGTGGCTTTTAGATGCTACTTAGTTTTGACTACTTCAGAGTACATCAAGGATAGCACCAAAACATTTGCAGGAGAGGGTGGGAATAAACTAACATTAAATGAAAAATTGTACCTTTTTTGTAGCCATTTCTTGTAGCCATATCTCGCTACAACAAACTGTAGCTAAAATCACGTAAACCAATTTTCTAAGGACTAATTGTCCCTTATTATAAGAAATGGCTTATGGTGAAAAAAAAATCTGTTTCTGTTCTTGGCACAAGGTCCTTTTTCTGTCAGGCAGCTAAGTCAATAGGCTTCGCATTTTTTAAAAATTTCCAGCTGGTTTCCAACTGATGTTTTAAGTTCTGTGTTTGGATACTGGTGGAAGAATGGTACAGGTTACTGTGAAAACAGAATGGTGAATATTGAAGAGCTAAACAAAATATGCCAATTCATCATGCTCCTATTAAATAACAAATCTCTGCAAATCATATTATTTTTGGAAAAGAAAAACGCCTTAGTCTGTTTGGCTTTAACCAGCATCTTAATTATTTTCAGAATGTCATCATACATTGTGTGAACTTTTCTGGCAGGGTTTAAGGATTACTCTTATTTACAAATATTTCCCTCCTATCTCAGATGTTCAGAATCAGAGAGAGAGAGAGAGAGAGAGAGAGAGAGACACTCATACATATCCTGGTAACTTCATGGTCAAGTCCCTATAGTTTTCTTGGCAAGATTTTGCCATTGCCTTCTTACGGCTAAGACAGAGTGACTGGCCCAAAGTCACCCAGTGGCTTTGTGCCTAAGGCAGGACTAGAACTCACAGTCTCCTGGTTTCTAGCCCAGTGCCTTTAACCACTCCACAAACT